CATTAAGTCTTCTCTGTAATTTTAACCCTGAACCGTGTGACCTTGAATTACCATGCAATCCTGCAAACTACAGTATGCAATCATACAATAGTTCTCTGAATAGACTTTTGAACATGTTCCTAAACTGGATGTCTTCTTCTGTTGAACTCTGTGGTCATGAGGGTTGTGTTCAGTAGTAATGAAACGGAAGGAAATGTTCCGAAACGATGAGGTACTATCTGGAATTGTCCAATAAGAAAGGTTTATTTCTGTTTCCGTTATAAAACATTTTGCTACAGTGTGCCCTAATGAACATGACGTTACAGTGCTATTGTGGATGTCTGTGTTAGCAGCTGATGATGCAGCTGTGATTGTTCCCTCTCCCTAACAAGGTGTTGGTAGCTGGGTGACCCAGGACTAGTGGACCTTGAGAAGTGCTGGCGATGCAGTTTTCTGACAGACCAATCAGCACGCCTTTGTCTGGGGAATCTGCTCAACACATACCCACATGCCAGTAACTGAAAGGTCGCTGGTTCGAATCCCCGAGGTGGCCCTTGACTAAGGCAGTTAACCCACAACAACAACTGCTCCCCGGGTGCCGATGATGTGGACGTCAATTAAGGCAGCCCCACACACCTCTCTGATTCAGAGGGGTTGGGTTAAAAGCGGTAGACACATTTCGGTTGAATGCATTCAGTTGAGCAACTGATTAGGTATCCCCTTTCACGTGCACACAGTTGGGGAAAACACAGATCCTTGTCTCCTCTCACAAGCTGGGTGACCTGGAAGATGTTGAACAGCAATGTCAGTATGCCTGTATGCCCTGGAAAAATAGAATAATTTCCCAACATCATACAATCTTGACATTAAGATTTGATAATCATGAAATTGGATAAAAACAAGAGTTTTCATAGAGATTGGATTAGCAACATAATCCAATCATAAAACCTTTAAACTCATCAAATAAAGTGCAATTATATCCTAAAGGGATGTATTTCATTCTCTTGGCAACACATTCAAATTAATATCATTCTCACTGAATGTAGTTCTGTCTTCCAAGCAACAGCAAGCATCAGTTTTCCCACCCAAATAAAGCAGAGTCAGAGTAGAACAACGCTTGTTTCCAATACATCAACAGATGCTATACTATAAATGTTGTGCTCCATTTTCATCGCACTGTAACAAAAGCAGCCATTAAACTGCTATATCTCCAACTGAGGGAAACACAAGAACGGAAGAATAGAATTGAGCGAGGATAGAGATTCATTGAATCTCAAAGGAAAGAGGTTCATTCGAATTTGAACATGCTTGAGAAAATGCCTCATGTTTTTGCCTCCACTGTTTGACCTTTAGTCTTCCATATTCAGGTCTGCTATGCTCGAAAGAGGACTTTATGAAACATGAAAGTCTATCACAACATACAGTAAGTAATAAAACAGGCTGAAGGTGTTTTTCACCGTTACTTTCCCCCTATGTTTCTTTAATCTTTTTCCATCAAACAAGGACACAGAATTGTCTGGCAGAGTCTGCCTTTGGAAAATTGGCCTTTTGCCGCAAAGAGCTGTCAAAACTAAAACAAACCTGTCCTTTCACAAGACTGGATATGGGCAGTTTCTTCTTTTTTGCTGAAGCATTATCCTGAAAATCTTTCAATTGTTTCTCGTTATCTACTCTTAGAAACCCTGAGAGAAAATAACCACTTAACAAACCATGAAAGACAAGACACAGGGAGAGAGAGGGAGTGGGGGTAAAAGCCATTGAACATGAAGTCAAATCTTAAATTCATCCCTTGAAGAGGGAGGTTGAATAAGGAAACAGCCTTGAATTATTGAGTCTGTCTCGCTGCCTCCCTGGTCATTGGAAGAGACAGAGGGAAGTGAGCATACATATGCTAGTACAACACATCTCCCTCCCCTCTTCTTTCTCTTTCCCCTTGCTTTACAGTACACACTGACGATAACTTACTACATTTGCACACACTGTATATAGATTTTCTATTGTGTTTTTGACTGTACGTTTTGTTTTTTATCGCACTGCTTTGCTTTATCTTGGCCAGGTCGCAGTTGTAAATGAGAACTTGTTCTCAACTGGCTTACTAGGTTAAATAAAGGTTAAAAAAAAAATAATATATATATATATATATATATAAATCCCCTGCCATTCCCCTTTGTTGTCCACACACACACCAGGTCCACGCCAGGCGTTGTCGGGCCTTCCTCTGCAGGCGGCCATATTGATCGCAGTACATGCACGTAGGGCCCCAGCACGGGGAGAGCTGTGGAGGCCGTAAGTGAGCCGTGTGGGGGCGCCGAGACCAAGCTGTGAGAGGAAGATAACAATGGGCGCTCACTAAAGCAGCGGTGACTGGCCCCGCCGTCTCCTCTGCTCTGTTTCACCAGAATTATTACGGGGGAAAAAAGACAGGAGGGATTATCACTATCAGTCCCAGGTGCATTCAAGTGGACAGTAATCCCCCCCATCCGTAGCCCCCAACACAGAACAGGGCTGCTCATGGATCCCCCCCATCCGTAGCCCCCAACACAGAACAGGGCTGCTCATGGATCCACACCATGCTCCCTTGCTCTCACCTTCTTTCTTTCTAAGACCTTAAAGCTAAGGCATCTCTTAGTATGTCAGCATGTCTTTGTCTCTGTTTGACTCAAAAAACATTGTGTAAAGGTAAGAAAGGGGGACAATTTCAGGCATTTCTTAGAAAATATTATTGTCTGTTTGTTTTTGTCTGTTTGACTTAAAACATTACGTAAGCAATGGACATTTGCTCTGCTGACAAAATGTGCCAAATATAATCTATTTTGTATTCATATAATACAATTCTAATAATTTGATTTGGATGAGCCATTCTGGTTACATGTACACTATTTGGAGCAGAATGAAATGAAATTGGCCCTCCTGTGTTCAATTGGTGTGAAGACTAAACCCAGATTATTCATTTTCGGTTCCTAATTGCTGGAACCTTACCTATCCTGGAGACATTACCCCATCAATTAAATATGTAATGAACTTCCCCTGTGCAAACAATGGAACAAATTTCATCACTCAGTGAGCACCTCATCTCCTCTCGTGAAAATCAATGACAGATTCCATTAAAACACAGACTGATATAATAGCAATGAATCTAAGCAGCACAAAACCAGTGTTGGGGAAGCTACTCTGAAAATATAGTTTACTAAAAGCTACCAATTATTTCGCACTGGAAGAAGTTAAGCTACTCTAAAGCTACCCTTAAGAATATACAGTTTACTCAACTAAAGTTACTTTGAAAGAGTAGTTCATTACATCCAAACTACTTTGTGATAAATTCCCATATGTCAATCTGAAATGTCATAGACAACAAATGGCAAGAACCGATCACTTTGGGGTTTATAGTAAACAGAATGTGTAATTTAGCCTATTAAACAAAAAAAAATGATGTTTCAAGTGAAAATTAGGCAGGTCTGATGCCAAAAAAGTACGGGAATTCCTTCCAACTTCACCCATATTTGATTATTGCCAAAAAAGTAGTGTGTCGTTCCAGTAGTTAGCTACACTGCTACATGGAAAACACTACCTAGATTTGAAATTAGTTCAACTACCACTAAGCTACTGCAAAATGTAGTTAAATTACTAGTTGAACTACATGTAGTTCACTACTCCCCAACACTGCGCAAAATGTACTGTATGCTATGATATTGAATAAGTTGTTGAGTCTTTGAGACATAGAGGGCATATGTCTAGGTGTGATGCAAAGAACTACCTTCACAAGAGTTTACTCAATGTACAGACTGTTTGAAGGCTTAGCTGATGTGCCCTTCTTTGTTAACATCCCTCTTTCACACTATACCTACTGGCTTCACTCAACCAAACACCCACTCCCCAGCAGTGTTTTGTGTACCTGAAGTACAATGTGAACAATAGTCAAGAGCCATGTAAACATTTCTAAGCATGATGTCATGGAGAATGATCTTGTCTGATATTGATGTTGACAGCCTTGGTTGCTAAGGTATAGGAAACGTTGTATTGGGAGACCTGGAGCACAAAGCTACAGAAAGCAGAGCTTAGGAGCTTTGCAAATTGCAGCATTGGTGGTACAGATACGTGATGAGGTTTCATATGTGAAGTATGCCGAAGCTCTTAGGTCTTCCATTTCAATAGGTTAAATTGACAGTTGTGTATTCTGGAAATACACTCAGTCAATGTGTTGGAAGGTGAGGTCAAACATAGATTTTACACTCCATACAGTAAAAACCATAAGCAGAAATATTAGGGACAGACAAAAAAAATCCAGACAAAGCGATTGAAGTTGCTTTAAATGTACAAAGTTGCACAGGTCTTTTATCAGTATTTGAAAATATTCAACACTGAAAGATAAGTAATAACAATAATTAATATCAACCAGAACTATAATTAAAATCAAAGTTTTTCCTCTTTTACAGAAACACCTGAGGGAAGCAAATTAAAAATAAATGAAAATAATTATGTAATTAAGTAAAATAAATCACAAAAGAAACTGAAGATAAGCTAATACAGGGGCACTCACATTCATCCAGGTATGTACAGCACATTCTCTCCACAACTGTATTGGACAGCAGTGATGATACGAATAAGGATGAAACAGGAAAGCTCCCTTCACATTCCCCTCTACGGTGTACATTTCAGGAAACCCTTGGTCTCAAGCCTAACTTTCCCCACTCTGGATTTGAGAGAGCTGGAGCTCTCGATGAGGGCTGTTAACTTTGGCAAGCATATTTGAGGCCAGTCATACTAGGCGACTGGGACTAGCTGTGGTGATCTTGCCTCTGGGGTGGTTGTGAGTGCTTGTGTCACAGTAACAGGACGGAGACTTGTGTTTTAGTCACAGGACTGACACTCGTTCTATAGTGTTACAGTAACATGACTAACTCTTGTGTTACGGTGTTGGTCACAGGACTGACACTCGTTCTATAGTATTACAGTCACAGGACTGACACTCGTTCTACAGTGCTACAGTAACATGACTTACACTTGTGTTACAGTGTTACAGTCACAGGACTGACACTTGTGTTACAATAACAGGACTGACACTTGTGTTAAAGTCACAGGACTCACACAATGTGAAGTTACGCTCTGAAAGGCGGTGAGGAGGATTCAACACAGACTTGCCCTGATGAAAATATTTCACCAGTATTGTACTCAAAACAAATTATAAAGACAAACAATTTATAAAAATGGTCTCTCCAACAACCTCTTCAGTTTTCAATTTTTCCCATGCCTGTTATTATTCATTTAACCTGTTTCTGCTAAGAAACTCTGAATAAACAATGCTTTTCAAGGTGGATTTTGAGTATTACATTTCACAATTGTATATACATTTAATATTCAACACCATTCCACCCTCCATATTAGTCTGTCATCTTACTATTGGTCAAATCTCACCACAAACATAATATGTTAAGGGAATTATGAGGGGGTGAAAAAAAAAACAAAAAAAAACTTTGGTCAAAGAGACAAAGAAAAAAGCCAGAAAAAAAAGCAATGACAAGATCAAGTGAAATCATTAATCGACTGCGGTGAAAAATGGAATCAAAGCAAAAGCTCAGTGGTTTCTCTCTCTCTCTCTCACAATATGGCCCATAATACAGCACTCCTCCCATTACATTTGGGTCTGCAAGATACTCTTGGTTTCCTCACAGAGGAAAGAAGGAAAGAAAAAAGGTGCTCTTTTCATGAAAATCACGTTCGTCTTGATTGTCCACAGAAAGTAATGCCGGCAGGAAGTAGTCCCGGCCCGGCTCAAGGATATACAATCACAGCGTATACGACAAGATCCTTTACTGGAAAGGAATTGAGAGTCTGTGACAGGGCCCAAGGGACCTTGGCCCTGCATTTTGTTGTTGTGTTGTTACCTGTGTGTAATGTTGTCATGTGTGTGTCTGTGTGTGTTTGTATGCATGTGATGTATGAATATGTGTTACTCTGTGTCTGTATCCAGGTGAGCTGTACAGTAGTTGTACAGCAGGTTGCTACTCCGAGGTTGTCTTGTCGTGTATCCCTCCCTCCCCCTGTTGGCAGCTCTTGCGGACGACGGGCAGGGGGTGAGCTTCCGTGTTGAACACCCAGTCCTCCAGAGGCAGCAGGTCATCGTCAGAGAAGAGCAGGTACAGATACCTGAGAGGGACACACAGCGTCAGTGTCTGGGGAAACGAATGGCTAGAATAAAGGATCCACTGGCTAGTTTTCTCCTAGACTATGGGTATCTAAACAAAGAAATAATGGCTATAATGCTATTGTATGAATCAATAAAAACATTTTTTTAATCATGGTTGGGCAATAATTACTGATGTAACAACCTGACATTCTTTGCTTTTGTAAAACAAGTTTATTTTGTAATTTCTCACGACTATTGAATGAATATGAATGAACATTTTGATGAATTCAATAAATTATGAACAACAGCAAGGTGAAGCGTGGGCTTTATTTAAAGCCTGTCTGGAGCCTTTCTGAGAAAATGGAAATTATAGTTAATCTTATTTCTACTGAAAAGATTCAGTATAAAACACAGCTTTCTCCATTTTCGTTCCAAAGTTCTTAAGGGTTCTTTATCTAAGGGGGCCCAGACGACACTCACACGTTCCTCTCAGCTCTATTAGTTGACAACTCCATGTGATGTCACATCACTAACCCGCCAGAGATTGGTCTGAGAGGGGGCTAGACTGAGTCTTTCAGCTGAATCTGAATGGGAATTTTGTTCTTTAAAAAATTCAAAAGGGTTTGTCTGTCAATTTGATGCAGATACTTGCATGAGGCAAAACATATTGCCTATACCTGAGAGATATAAGAAAGATCAGGATTATTTTTTTATTGTGAGGCTTGTGGGCATCCAAGAGCAAAACAACCGACATGTTCATGAGAGTCTCATCTTTCCATAGAGGGGTCAAACTACTACAGTGGTTTTCGTGAGAAGACAGATTTTTCAGGATGTCTCATGGTCTGACAAACCCCGCTCTAGCTCTGCCACCTTTCACCGCAGATCTGGAAGGGCGACATCGGTGGATACAGTGGATTGAGATGCAGCCCATGCAAAAACAGATATCTCTTGCTTAAACTGATGGATTTTAATGGGGATTTTTGTATTATGCAAATGTGATCGACTCTAGGGGTTTTTAAACTGCATATGCTATTTACTTCTTACTACTTCTAATAAACTGTATATGCCATTTACTCTTAGTGGAATAAGCTCTGTAGCCGTTTACAAATGGTCCTCTGTAGCTCAATTGGTAGAGCATGGTGCTTGTAACGCCAGGGTAGTGGGTTCGATCCCCGGGACCACCCATACGTAAAAATGTATGACTGTAAGTCGCTTTGGATAAAAGCGTCTGCTAAATGACATATTATTATTATTATTATTATTACAAATCTAAAAAGCTAAGTGTTTGCTGGTATATCTCAGTAGTGCAATAGGTAAGCAGCTTGGTTTGAAGAAATCAACTGTGGGAGCAATTATTAGGAAATGGAAGACATACAAGACCACTGATAATCTCCCTCGATCTGGAGCTCCACGCAAGATCTCACCCCGTGGGGTCAAAATGATCACAAGAACGGTGAGCAAAAATCCCAGAACCACACGGGGGGACCTAGTGAATGACCTGCAGAGAGCTGGGACCAAAGTAACAAAGCCTACCATCAGTAACACACTACACCGCCAGGGACTCAAATCCTGCAGTGCCAGACGTGTCCCCCTGCTTAAGCCAGTACATGTCCAGGCCCGTCTGAAGTTTGCTAGAGTGCATTTGGATGATCCAGAAGAGGATTGGGAGAATGTCATATGGTCAGATGAAACCAAAATAGAACTTTTTGGTAAAAACTCAACTCGTCGTGTTTGGAGGACAAAGAATGCTGAGTTGCATCCAAAGAACACCATACCTACTGTGAAGCATGGGGGTGGAAACATCATGCTTTGGGGCTGTTTTTCTGCAAAGGGACCAGGACGACTGATCCGTGTAAAGGAAAGAATGAATGGGGCCATGTATCGTGAGATTTTGAGTGAAAACCTCCTTCCATCAGCAAGGGCATTGAAGATGAAACGTGGCTGGGTCTTTCAGCATGACAATGATCCCAAACACACCGCCCGGGCAACGAAGGAGTGGCTTCGTAAGAAGCATTTCAAGGTCCTGGAGTGGCCTAGCCAGTCTCCAGATCTCAACCCCATAGAAAATCTTTGGAGGGAGTTGAAAGTCCGTGTTGCCCAGCGACAGCCCCAAAACATCACTGCTCTAGAGGAGATCTGCAACTTTTGTTATTGACCAAATACTTATTTTCCACCATAATTTGCTAATAAATTCATAAAAAATCCTACAATGTGATTTTCTGGATTTTATTTCCTCATTTTGTCCGTCATAGTTGACGTGTACCTATGATGAAAATTACAGGCCTCTCTCATCTTTTTAAGTGGGAGAAAGCAAAGTGTTGAGGTATTCTCAGTAGGGGGGATGTTGACTGGCCGTGTTAGACTTACTTGAGTGTCTCGGAGAGGAAAAAGCTTTGTTGCATGTTATCGTGGCTGACTGTCTGGGCGTACACGTCTCGGATCCCAGAGAAACCAGCTTCGACTCTGCAGTGTTGCTCCAGAGCCTGGGGAGAAGAATAGAAAGAAGAGTGTAGAAGGGATGTTAATGTCAAACCTGACATGTATTATACCAGCAGTTAGCCAATGGGCACAGACAGTATCCTCCTACCTATCACTGTAATGATTGAAATTCATATCAAATCAAACTTCAGCAGTAGGACTGCAGCTCTCAAGTACTGGAGTTGTGCAACCCTAATAAGGGAACATAGGTTGTTTATGGAGAGCCAGAGACAGATACGTCAACCTAGTACCATGTCCTCAAACACCCTCTTTTACTCACAGCACAATCACCTCATACGACACCAAACATAAAGCCTCCTTATATTAAGGTCTTGTCTGGGGCACCTTATACAATATTCAACGACATCCAGTAGCACGAGTGAGAACAAGAGGTTGGGGTTGAGGTGGTGAATGGGGGCAGAGCTAATAATAATGTGCCTATAGAGAGAGGACACATTACCCTTTGCAACAGGGGTTGGGATGATAGATTTAGCATTCATTTTGTGCCCAGAGAGAGAAGTGGTGTGATCAGGCTGACAGGGTTGACACATGCATTCATTATGGGGCACAAAAGGTTGACAAAACCCACACTTTGCTTATTTTCATGCAGATCCAACAGTAAGAACAGGGGTCTGTGTTAATTATGGTCTGTCTTTGTCAAGGGGGTAATAATGTGCTAATCAGCCTGGCTAGTTCTGCCCTCACACTGCCTTGTCAGACGTAGCATTGCAGGGCCTCCAATGTTGAGCTGACTGAAGGTCTAGACCATGTTCAATTATATGTACTGTACATTAGTTCCTCGAGAGAGAGAGAATACATATGGACAGAGACCAGCACAGATGTCAGATCTTAATTTGACCCCTTTCATCGCAGGAGGAAAATCTGATTTTCTAGATCTATTGTTTTATTATATGTTGAAGGCAAGCAAGAGGTATAATACATTATTGGTTTTCTCAGTGCCTATGTGGTGCTATGGTTACAGCCACTAACCCCAGCACAATATGCCAGAGTCGGCATGGCTTCGAATTCCGGCCCACTGCCCTTTGACTCATGAATGAATGTCTTTTTTTGACGCATTAATTCCGCGGAGTTACAGCACAGGTGTCAAACTCATTCCACGGAGGGCCGAGTGTCTGTAGGTTTTCGCTCCTCACTTGTACTTGATTGATGAATTAAGGTCACTAATTAGTAAAGACCTCTCCACACCTGGTTGTCTAGGGCTTAATTGAAAGGAAAAAACTAAAACCTGCAGACACTAGGCCCTCCATGGAATGAGTTGGACACCCCTGGGTTACAGGGTTAAAATCGAAACAACTCGAAGGTTAACAGTTTGGGGTAGGCAACCCTATTCCCGGAGAGCCGCAGTGTATGCTGGTTTTTGATTTAACCGACCTGGAAGACCAGGTGTGTTGAATTTAGTCAATTAACTCAGTTGGTCAGTTCAGTGATTGACTAAATTCAACACACCCGGTTGGTATTGTAATCGGAACAACTTAGTCCTTTTTGAACAGAAGGACGATTTATCTATTTGACAAACATTCCGAACAATAGAAACAAAGTATTTAATATTACCATGGCAAATCTACTATGGCAATTTACCCGACACTGTATGAAACTGCATGATGTAGCCTTTTGTTATTATTTTATTTGTTTCCTATTTATGTTATCCAAAAGTGTCTGGTATGGTCATTTCTTATCAAGATCAGGGGTAAAATATCCCTGGAATGTCAATATTTGAAATGTGCAAATAAATCAAGTCAATCGGGGGATTGAGTTATTTGTGCCAGAAAGGCGTGGTAGGCCTACATGGTAGACCCTAACCGCTAGACCACCTCAGGCCACGACTGAACTCAATTTTGACCTTAGGATACACTTGACACTTGTATGTCGTAGCCTAGTGTAGACCATTATTAAGCTATATAAAACGATCACATGACAGTTGATGTGTATGGCTGCATTTCAGATACATTTTTGTACATTTGAATGTTAAAGTAATTGGACCTAGGCCTAGCATTTGAGCGAGCGAGAGAGAAAATTATTTTGATAGCAAGCCCTGATCCAAATGACTCGACTGCCCCCACATGGAGAAAAGATAACTGCTATTTTTCAGGGACTCATTTGAATTTTGTGATGCAGCAGGAAAATGCTCTGCCACAAGAGTGATCAAGTTAAGATCCGACATCTGTATGTGGGATATGATTGTCTCTATTGAGGTTTTCAATCATATTTCAAAAACACATTCTAGAATCACTGTTTTATTGTTCTTTTACACATCCTTGTTAAATGCACTTTAAGGATAAGCACCAGATCTCCACTCAGTTTAAACTCTTTGCTAATCAAAATGTAACAAATAAAACCAGAAGGTACTTTGGAGATAAAGTACCAGAGTTACAAGTCATTCCTTTAGTGACATTATGGTTGTATCATGAAGACTGTGCCATTGACGTCTGTGTGACTCACCTCCACTGCCTCCCAGCCCCACTCCCGGTACTTGGGGTCATGGGTCAGCCTCCACATGTACATGTAGCTCTCGATGACCTCCGGCCGCAGGATGTAGTATCTGTCACTCAGTCTGGTTGCCGTGGCTTCCGCCCCACTGTCGAATCGGAATGCCTCAGGCCCTAATTTTGTAGCTAAAGGAGGATTAGAGAGACACAAGAGTGAGCAGATTAAACGATGTACTTAAAAAAAACATGGGGGATGAGGAATGTTATTTGAGTCGATTTATATTTAAGTGAATAGTTTGTTCAATCAGTCTTCTGAGGTACTGAAACAAATCAAAGCGAACAACATAATTGTGGGTGAATTAGCACTATAAATAATATAGCCCTGGCAAACAGTCGCGATTCCAACATCATGCTCTAAAAAGAAATGGAAAATGAGCTCTACAATAAAGATCTGTTCCCCAGTTGGTCTTGTAATCCAGATGGTCTACACATTCTCTCTCTGTTAGCCGGCTGCCACTCTGCAAGGCCGTAGCGACAGCATGCGAACAGGATTCCCATCTACAGTAGCACAATGGTTGCTATTCGGGGGAGAACTTTCGGGGGAGTTCAGGGTAAGACCATTGGCATGGCAACATTTCAAATTTTGAATCGCAATCAGGATGCGTGTGTATTACTACGTATGTTACATGACGCATGTTTCACATATTGTGTTTTTTCCCCAAACCGTAGTGGGATATTTGCCAGGTCGTTTGCAGAACCCTTACAAAAAAAAAAAAACGTGTATTTTCACATGTGAAATCACACACATGTTGAGCTTAAATTTCACAAGTGAAACTATATTTTCACATGTATTAAATGTAGAGTTCACATGTTAACACCTCACATGTGAATTGCAGTTTGTGAAAATCGGATATTCAGTTTCACATTTGAAAAATGTAGAATTGCAAGTTCACATATGGGCTTGAAATAATGTTATTCTCCTCACATGCAAAAAGATGGTGTTACATGTTACAGTAGCAAAGTTTCCAATGGTGGAATTAGGGTGACCACATCTAAAAAGCCCAAATATGGGACAAGGGAACGATTTTGTGGGACATTTGCGGAACAGTGGACAGAATAAAAACATTTCTTACAGGTTAATAGATCACCTTCAAATGGCGACATAGTTCTGCTGTATGAAGGTAACTGCCTGTTAAAGGGGCAATCCTTAGTTGCTACATCCATTTTTGGACTTTCTCACTGCAGTCACAACATCCATCTGGCAGGAGAGGAATGAGAGCAGCAATGGCAGCGGTGGCATTTCACTCCTTGACATCATCTCCTTTCTATTTCAGTACACACGACTGACTCCAACTTTCTCAACTCTTTTTAGGACAGAGAGCCCATCTGTCTTTTGAACTATTGACTGTTTTATGTTTCTATATATCAACTCCATCCAACCTTCATCTCCTCCCCAACAGCGAGGCACATCAGCCAATGACGGAAAACTTTCAGACATTTTCTCTAATGTCTGAATCGATAGTCCCCAATGCTGCCTGGCATGCCTTTTCTTGGCTAGAAGACGGGGGCCAGCCGGCCCTGTTGTGTTGATGGAACAGATCCAGACAGAGAGGAGCGGCAGAAGGAGAGACCCTTGTAACCTCCTTTCTCATCCAATAGAAGCTAAGAGGCTCGGAACTGAAATATTGAGCAGCCCTCTAATGAGAAGGGGAACAAACTAAGAAAAAAGCAGAAGATGGCAATAAAAAGGAGGAGGCACCTTTTGGTTGGGGAGATCAAAAGTCTTCTAAGTATATCAAGAAACCTGTTATGCGATGAGTCACATTAGCTGTATTTTCAGGATGAAACCAGTCTGCTCACCCTGTGGTGGAAACACGAAAAAAATTATTCTGAATAATATTTTCTGTTAAGTGTCAGGGCCGAGGACGAGAAATCAAGTTCAAGCGAGTTTTTTCCCAAAAGTGACCACTACTCATCTCTTTTTCGCTCAGACTTTTAGATTCCCTCAAGTTCATTCTACGTCCAGACAGTGCACAGTAAATAAAGGATAGTTGAATTCACAGTTTTAAAAAAATGTGGGTTAAATTGACTCTACTGGGAGTTATCTTAACCCTCGAGAGTAATACGCTCCCTGGAGTTAGTGTTGATAACTGGAGTTGATTGGGACGGATTACTTTCAACTCCATTAAGAGTAACCATAATGTGACACAATAAAAATGTAAATAAGGCTTTATACCTTTATAACTCAAAGGAAGTAAACTGAAACTCTGCTGGAGTTGATTGTTAATTAAAAACGACACTGAGTTAAATTTAAGCAACTCTCTGCGAGTTGGATATTTACTCCATTTAGTGTAGTTTTAACTCCAAAAATATGAATTGTTTTAACACAAAATGGGGTTGGGACCATATAAACCCCAAAATAGTGTAAAATTGAACTCTTGCGATTTTACTGTTTGTGTAGAATCTCATCAAGACTTGAGGATCTTGGTCTTGTTTGATCTTCGTCCTCTCCAGGTTGAGTTGTACTACAAATCATTTGCCTGTGGTCTCTCTGAGACTCTCATTCTCAGTTTATTCTACAAACGACAGACATCTTTGTCTTTCCCTCCATTTTGAATCACCATTGACTGCTTTCAAATGATTATTGCTTTCAAAAGAGGTCTGGTAGGACAGCATGAGTGCACATTGAAGTGTCGAAAGATGATAAAGAATAATTTTGAATAACTTTTATTCCTCACACCAGAGACATGAGGTTCTGCAGCTCCCTATTGAGCTGTACATCCGCCTTTTGAGGTGTAGCTGCCAGCTAGGAGTTAAATTAAATGTAAATTGGCTGCAGATTTTTTTATTTCCAATATGACTCAATCTCTCCCTGACGAAGGCCATGCAGCCAAAACGTGTCAGAGTTTTAAATCTTTGTTTCCTTTGAACATGCCAAACAAATAAAGGCATTTAATTAATTATATGAAGGAGCGGCTTGGTCCTGACCAATTGACCCCTTTTACCAAAGACCTTCTTTCTACAAAAACCTACTATTGTGTACTTAGCAGAGCTTCTCTCCTTCAATCTCTATTTATTTAATTATTTTCCAGGTCACCACATTCCTTCACTTAAGAAGATAGTCTAACAGCATTGTAATTTTACTGACTTGATAATGTCCTGCACGATAACAGAAAAAGCTATAATTGCTCTGAATACCCAGAGCAACATCCAAACATTGGATATCCAATGTCCTTAAATACTAATCTCATACCTGTCCTTGGTCATACATATGTCCTATACTCAAAGCCATTCCGTCCTACTCACCGAACTACTACTCTAAGCTCTCGTGGCAGGGTGTGTGGATCTATGGGAGCAGGTACCTAGGTAGTAACGACTTTCTTGGAGCTAGTCGTCGTCCGCTCCAATCACCACCATGCCCCCGGAGAAGCAGGCCAGGTGGCCCATCTTGTGGTCCAGGATGCCCCCCCTCCACTCCGCCATGTAGGTCAGCCCACCAGGGGACTTCTGCACCAGGTTAGCCTCGATAGCCTGGGGGTTGGAGACCATTGACATTTATAAATGGGTGAGACACAGATAAGTCTCCATTAATTGACTGCACACTACAGCATTTTTTCAACTCTGTGTTTCTATGAATCATGCTGGAACTGTGATGGGGAAACATAGACAAACCTCCATTCACATACATATGAGTACAGCTTTTCTACCTTAGAAATAGAATCTAGGCTTTTTATTCTAGTCATTCTACATGTAGGATTTCAACTCTGTGGGTTCTGAACGCTTCTGTTACTCTGAAGCTGAGATGGGGAAACACTGAGAATAAAAAAAAGACCGCAATTGTTTTTCAATTTAAATCATATCTAAGAAGAAATACTTGAGAAGCAATTGGAAGTTCTGGAATACATTTCTATCTACAGCGCAGGTGCCATGGCAGTGCTGGGATGGCAGCTGCTTCAATTTGTGTGTGCCCAAGTTGTTGTATGGCTTGTTCTATCCACAATGTTATGTGGATGCATGTTTTGTAGACACTATCTATGCACATTGCCAATTTGAACAACATGTCCATATTGGTATGTGTTTCTGCATTTATGTACGGAATGATTTATACATCCTATAACACATGGACAGGTATGTGGCAAATTGAAGTCAAGCCTCATTGACATTCTATTCTGATTCCAGGAGAGAGAGAGGTGGAAATCTGGTGGAAACAAAGGAAAGAGAGAGAGGGATGGAGAGAGGGAGTGAGAGAGAGAGTGTGTGAAACAGATAGAGAGAGAGAAATCAGACAGAGAGAATAAGGACAGAGGAAGAGGGAGACTTTAGGAGGAAATGTATTGAAGTTTATCTCTCTCTCCCTGGTGCCATGTCTCCTGACAGAGATTTTCTTTGTATTTGTCTTTCTTTGGAAAGTCAGGAAACAGAGTAAGGCATCTCAGGAGATCAATACCCAAGAGACGAGGAACGTAGAATAGAGAGAGCGAAGAGAAGAGACAGAGAAGAGAGGCGAGAGAGAGAGAGAGAGAGAGAGAGAGAGAGACTGAGCGAGAGAGAGAGCTTCGTCGCCTCATATCGTCTCTCTCTGCTCTCTCTCTCTCTCTCTCTCTCTCTCAATACGCATACCATCGCTTTCTCATCCTGCTAGATCGAATCAAGTACTTGCTCTCTAGCTCTAGACCTCCATCCCTCTGTCAAGGGTGGCCCCATGGGAACAACCCATGATCCTAAAACTAGCAGATTCTATTATCTACCACAGGTTTGACACTGCTCATTAAAACATAAACTTCCCATTACTCTATTATACACTGAGTATAAAAAACATATATATTGAGTTGCACCCCCTTTTGCCCTCAGAACAGCCTCAATTTGGGCATGGACTCTACAAGGTGTTGAAAATGTTCCACAGGGATGCTGGCCCATGTTGACTTTAATGCTTCACACAGTTGTGTCAAGTTCGCTGGGTGTCCTTTGGGTGGTGGACCATTCTTGATACACACGGGAAACTCTTGAGCATGAAAAACCCAGCAGCGTTGCAGTTCTTGACACACTCAAACCAGTATTTTGTCTTGCCCATTCACCCTCTGAATGGCACACATACACAATCCATGTCTCAATTGTCTCAAGGCTTAAAAATCCTTATTTAACCTGTGTCCTTCATCTACACTGATTGAAGTGGACTTAACAAGTGACATTAATAGGGGATCATAGCTTTCACCTGGATTCACCTGGTCAGTCTATGAGATGGAAAGAGGTGTTCCTAATGTTATGAATACTACTGTAATTAATGTTTTCCATTAATGCATTCCTTAAGGGCAGATATGGTGAGACTTTTCTAATTAGGCGTTTTTTGCCATTACCATGGTGTGGGAATTAATTGAAATTTGTGGCATTTCACACAGTGTTCTAATTAGCATTTAAGGGGCGTTCACTTTTTATCTATTAATTAGTATCTACCTTTATTTGAAAGCTAATCCTTTATTTGAATACTAATGCAAATTATTACTGTACTATCTACGCTTGAGAGCACTATACAAACACACACAGTATAGCTATGGTGTGATACCAGAAAAGGGCTAACTATAACTATTTCAAATACCAGGCCACAGGAGAGAGATTGTCTATAATTAATGTATTTGCCTTTGGCTTGACCCTCCAATGAGCAAATAGTCTCATCAGCCTAAAAGGCTAGCGTCAATGGTATTTAAGGAGAAGATATTGTGCTAATTGATGGCTGAGGGATTGGGTGTATGTGTGTGGAGGAGGTTGTGTGTGTGTGTGTGTGTGTGTGTGTCGTGCCATGTCTGTGAGTGTGTGTGTGTGTGGTGTGTGGTGAGGGAGTGTGTGTGTGTGTGCATGTAGGGGGGTGTTTGTGAGTGTGTGTGCCATATTTGCATGTGCGCGTGTATGTTTGTGACTTTGTGTGCACACTTACATGCATGTGTCATGTGTGTTTGTGCGTCACAGGTTGCTGATACTTGTTATGATATACTGTAAAACTATGCTGAATTCTAAAACCACAGCGATAACAGACCACCTTTCCGTCATTCCCTTCACCCATATATCTTTCCATATTGCATATATCAATTCCCTACAGCGGCCCCCTGAAGACAGCAGCAGGTCCCTCTCTGCGTGCTATATGGAATTACTCCTACCTCCAGAGCACTGTAGTACATCTTCTTAGCTTCCTCATCGGTCTTGTCTGACATCAGATATGATTTGATCAGATACTCGTAGAAGCTATCCCCCAGGCCGCCAATGGAAACGTGATCTGGGATAGGAAAAATAGAGAAATCTGACATTATTTCCACACAGGGAGGGTCTTTTTCCCAAACATTATTCTGCAGTCTCACAGGCAGCCGACCTTGGGTTTACTAAACCCAATAACCAATGAGTCAAATAGAATCAGAGTATATGTGGGAATCTCTTGTGGATATGACAGACTGACTGATTTGTAGTTTCATACTCTGAGTAGCCTTTGCACAGAAAATAACTGTCCTTGTGGCTAGCTTTATCAACTACCCACACAGTTGTGGTTTTAATTTAATTAAAAAGTATTATTGGTTGGTACAACTTGAGATATGAATACACTTGTGGTTGTTGATTTTTTTTCCTCCCACTCAATTTCATGCTAATTCAACAACTCTGGATAAGATACTGGGTTGGAGAGGTGTTTGTGTGCTCACACATCCACACATCCATGCATGCAAGCACACTTGCACACCCACCCACCCTCCACCACCACACACTCCTCCACACTGTGAAAGGTTATCACGCAGCGTTCTCTTAGCCCTTGACAACAGAACAGCAGAGACTGGGGGAGAGGTGTGTGTGAATCCGTGCTTTCTGCTCTGTGCCCAATGTGCCCATGCTGACAGAAACACAGCCCGTGCTGAACACCCACTGTCCCTCTCCTTCCTCTCCTCCTCCTTATCTACCTGCTTCATTAACCATTCACCCACAACAACAATTAGCCCCATAATCAGACATTAGGACTAGATTAGGACTTTCAGGCCCACATCTTCAGATGCCATCTCGGCATCTCCCATTTCTCTGCCTTTCAGTTGAATCGGAAAAGATTCAATTTCCCGACTTAATTTGATTCATTATCATTTGAATAACCCAGAGCGAGGCGAGTCATATCACTGCTTGAGACTGACATTGATAGGGAAAGAAAGAAAGGAAGAAAGAGGGATGGATGGCTGACAAGGACGCTCCAAAGGATTTAAATGGGAGAGCTCCTGCAAGGTCGGAGGAGTTTCTGTGTAGAAAGTCATAGGATCAGTTCACAGATGACTAGAGGGTAATAATATGTAATTACGGTGTTTCTGTACAGTATAAAAGAGTATCAGAATCGCCTTTGACTGGGTTAACCAAGGACGTTCTTTTCTGCTGTACTACAATTACAAAGGTGGTGTTTGTATAGTGGCAAAAGCTTTCCTGTGGATAAGTGAAGTGTGGTGATGGAAATTAAGCTAGCCCGCTAGCCAGAGGATTGTACTTTTTAGACCAGGCTAGTAGAAAATGTGGCAAATTTGCCACAAATATCGCATGGCACAGATTTTGTACCCTTGGCTAGTAGAATGTCACCCGGCTACTAGTGTGGCTGGCCAGTGCCCTTATGTTCTATGATAATAATATAATCATGTGTATCTCCTTCAGTGGAGGCCAGTACTCACGTTGGACCCAGTTTCCACTGACGGGACTCAAGAAGTTGGGATAGAGACCGTGAGGCTTCTCGATTTTGTTCAACAGCTTTCGGATATTCATAACCTGCAACACCACACAGTAATAAATACATTAGCTTTGAAGGAAAAATCCTTCTGTAAACTAAAATAACTGTAGAGAGGATTTCAACTTTGGCATCACGTATGCTTCTAATTGATTTAAATGTCCTTTGGAAGTATTTGTTCACTGAAGTTGTGACTGACAGCCGAATTAGAAGGAAAACTTATCATCCAATGAAATGTAACATTACGTTCAGTATGCCCATTAAAAACATTCACAAATATCCATTAAATAAATTGAAAGTGAAGTTCTAAAGAATATTGTCCAGAGGCTAGAGTAATGACTGCAGCAAGAAAAACACAAATGGATAATGACATACAACATGCACTGATAAGCATAAAAAATATTTTACATAGTCAAATCTGATATTCTGTAGTAGGCAGTCACACATAGGGTTACAAAATTGCAAAAACGTCCTCAAAGTTCCCAGGTTTTTGAGAAATTCCTGGTGAAGGATTCTAACTGGGAAAGTTTCAGGATTTTTGCAACACAAGTCACTCACAGTATTGTGGGTACTGTAGTATTTACCTTCTCTGTGTAGATGCCATTGTTGGAGAGCTCTGATAGGTGGACAAACTCCAGGTGCAGGGTTCCAAACTCTGCCAGGATACTGCTCCCGGCTGACGCCCAGCCCCAGCTCCAGCTGGTGCCACTGCAACAGAAACCATACCGCGCCAAGTGAGGACCACAGTCAACACACACTGTTACACACTGTTGCACACTCTGGACATTACAGGTGTCACTGTACATACCGCGCCAAGAGAGGACCAGAGTCAACACACACTGTTACACATTGGTTCTCACTCAGGACAATAAATCCATGTTAACACAAAGCATTTTCATTATGTTCTGCAAAGTTTGAATTAGATTGTAACTTTTAAGACTGAAAGTCTTGGACTTAATTAAACTCTGACCAATTGTCAATAATGGGCAAATAAATAGCATTGTAACTTGATATGATGCTACAATTACAGATAAACAATCAACACCAGTGTCAGTAAAGAAAAACATTCAGTTTTGACCTCAGTGTGGTGTCACTTTCAGTAGTTCCCTGCTTTGTCTTTGAGGCAATTTAGTGTCTTGGAGCCAAAGCTTTATACGGTTCTAGTGCACCAACAACTACAATATCTTCAAAATGTGTTTACCTATATTCTGGTGCTGAAGAAAGTAGAGAGACTAAGGTTACGTCCCAAATGGCACCCTATTTAAAACATTGTGCACTACTATTGACCAAAGCCATATGGGCCCTGGTTAAAAGTAGTACACTATATAGTGAATAGGGTGCCATTTAGGACACAGTATTAAGATTAAGCAGGTCTGGATCTGTTTGTCCCTCTTGGGCACCAACCAAGACGCTATCTAATGCATCGCATCACTTGTCTGTGGATCAGAGTGGGAGACTTTACTACCCTCTGTAGATCAATAACCCATCTACCCCTGCAGAGGTGAGGAAAGCATTAAGTTCATCTTAGAGTCTAAAGCTAGAGCACCAACCAAGTCTGGAGTCAACCAGGGTCACCAATAAACCATGGCTGTGTCCAAAATGGCACCCTAGTTCCTATATAGTGCACTAATTTTGACCAGCACCCATAGGGCTCTGGTCAAAGTAGTAACCTTTAGTGAGTAGAACACTATATAGAGAATGGGGTGTGGTTTCGGATGCAACCCATATCCTTTTGACTTATTTCTCTATGAAAGTAGTGCACTGTGAGGATGATATTCGCAGCCATCTCAGAATAACAGTACGTCTATGTCTAAATTACGACTTCAATGACGTGCTACTACAGTATGACTAACCTAATCAGAGGTGAGATGGAATGTCATTACATTATATTACATGACCTAATCCTACATTAATAGAAAGTGATAAAGTGATGAATGGAACTGAATTAATTAGTGGAGGATGGGGAAAAAAAAGAGAAACTATAGAGGGATTGAAGCAACGAGAGATGTAGTCCTGATGAATATGCTTATTAAAAGTTTGGGGCTACATCATTAGCTGCTCAAGCTAAAGTAAACTCAGGGCCCGTAGAGTAGGAGTGAATGACTTTAGCGCCTTATTGCAAACAGGATGCATGTTTTGGAATATTTTTTATTCTGTCCAGCTTCCTTCTTTTCACTCTGTCATTTAGGTTAGTATTCTATCATAGCCATTAAACTCTATAATTGTTTTAAAGTCACCATTGGCCTCATGGTCAAATCCCTGTGCGGTTTCCTTCCTCTCTGACAACTGAGTTAGGAAGGACGCCTGTATCTTTGTAATGACTGGGTGTATTGATCCAAAGTGTAATAACTTCACAATGCTAAAAGGGATATTCAATGTCTTTTTTTTTTTTTACCATCTACCAATAGGTGCCCTTCTAGGCATTGGAAAACCTCTCTGGTCTTTGTGGTTGAATTTGTGTTTGAAATTCACTGCTCGACTGAGGGACCTTACAGATAATTGTATGTGTGTGGTACAGAGATGAGGTCGTCATTCAAAAATCATGTTCAACAGTATTATTGCACACAGAGTGAGTCCATGGAACTTATTATGTGACTTGTTAAGCACATTTTCACTCCTTAACTTATTTAGGTTTCCACTTTGACATTATGGGTTATTGTGTGTAGGCCAGAGACCCAACATTTCAATTGAATCAATTTTAAATCCAGGCTGTAACACAACAAAATGTGGAAAAAGTCAAGGGGTGTGAATACTTTCTGACGGAACTGTAAATTGGTACATTGCACACTTTAGGAAACTTGCAAAAATAATTCTCAGCTTTAGCATTCAGTAACTTGCAAACAAGTGTTCAATGTTTTCTCTATGCATTATTCATTGTGCTCCTTGTATGAATGTGTTCGCTTCACTAATTACAAAGCATTTAGTTGGAGGTTCTTCAATGTGTTGAGGCCTTTTGGGAGCACCAGCAGTATTCTATAAGTAGTCCAGATATATGGAAGACCACATGGGACATGCTACATATACAAGTCAGCACATAGGCAGCATATTAGTTGTGCTATACTGAATTCCCTTGCTGTTTGTTTGTGTGTGTGTGTGTGTGTGTGTGTGTGTGTGTGTGTGTGTGTGTGTGTGTGTGTGTGTGTGCGTGTGTGTGTACATTAAATATCATTATGGGGCAACATCGTTTCTCACTGAGCTATAATGAAATCCCTTGCTGTTTGGGTGTAGGTGTGTGTGTGTATCAAATAAAATAAAATAAAATAAAAATGTATTTGTCACATGCGCCGAATACAACAGGTGTAGACCTTACAGTGAAATGCTTACTTACAAGCCCTTAACCAACAATGCAGTTTTAAGAAAGAATACCAAAAGAAATCACACACAAAAATACAATATCAAATAATACGAATAATTAAAGAGCAGTAAAAATAACAATAGCGAGGCAAATGGGTAGCCATTTGATTAGATGTTCAGGAGTCTTATGGCTTGGGGGTAGAAGCTGTTTAGAAGCCTCTTGGACCTAGAGTTGGCGCTCCGGTACCGCTTGCCGTGCGGTAGCAGAGAGAACAGTCTATGACTAGGGTGGCGGGAGTCTTTGAAATTTTTTCGGACCTTCCTCTGACACCGCCTGGTATAGAGGTCCTGGATGGCAGGAAGCTTGGCCCCAGTGATGTACTGGGCCGTACGCACTACCCTCTGTAGTGCCTTGCGGTCGGAGGCCGAGCAGTTGCCATACCAGGCAGTGATGCAACCAGTCAGGATGCTCTCGATGGTGCAGCTGTAGAACCTTTTGAGGATCTGAGGAACCATGCCAAATCTTTTCAGTCTCCTTAGGGGGAATAGGTTTTGTCGTGCCCGCTTCACGACTGTCTTGGTGTGCTTGTATGTGTGTGTGTGTTTGTGTGCATATGTGTACAGCATGCGTTGCGTGTATGTATGTGTAGTTTCTGTACATATACGTTCCTCTTCTTACGTGGATATAATTTATAATGGGGGAGTATCGTTCCTCCCCATCTGCACCCAGGGTTCATGTTACCCATCTAACTGGAATTAGCTCTAGAATCAGTTAATTACATTTGCCAGCAGCTGTCTGCTTAGACGGGCGGGTTAATTGGAAGCAGGTGGCAGGCAGAGGTGCCAGAGAGATGTCTTTTTAGAAGATAAGATAGTGAAAAAATCTAATTAAAAGTGTACAGTATCTTAACTATGTAAGGGTGGTGGGTATTGCATATGGGGGTCCCAATAAAATCGCACAGATCAGGGTCGAACATGTTATTTCATTTGTGGGTTCAAGACGAGGCCACAAATGTTAAACATTTCAAATGCAAACAGAAGTATAAAAAATGCCTTCTTACTGTAATGCAATCCAGCTAAATGCGTTGGTAAGGTCTCATACAGTGCATTCAGAAAGTATTCAGACCCCTTCCCATTTTCCACATTTTGTTACGTTACAGCCTCATTCTAAAATGGATTAAATAAATAAAAATCCTGATCAATCTAAACACAATACCCCATAATGACAAAGCGAAAACAGGTTATTATAAATTTTTGCAAATGTATTACAAAAAAACAAACAGAAATACCTCATTTACAGAAGTATTCAGAGTATCCTTGAGATGTTTCTACAACTTGATTAGAGTCCACCTGTGGTAAATTCTATTGATTGGCCATGATTTGGAAAGGCACACACCTGTCTATATAAGGTCTCAAAGTTGACAGTGCATGTCAGAGCAAAAACCAAGCCATGAGGTCGAAGGAATTGTCTGTAGAACTCCGAGACAGGATTGTGTCGAAGTACAGATCTGGGGAAGGGTACCAAAAAATGTCTGCAGCATTGAAGGTCCCCAAGAACACAGTGACCTCCATCATTCTTAAATGGAAGAAGTTTGGAACCACCAAGACTCTTCCTAGAGCTGGCCGCCCGGCCATCAGATTTTTTTTTTTAAACCTGTTTTTGCTTTGTCACCATGGGGTATTGTATGTAGATTGATTAGGGAAAAAAACAATTTAATCAATTTTAGAATAAGGCTGTAACATAACAATTTGTGGGAAAAGTATAGGGGTCTGAATACTTTCCGAAGGCACTGTATGTGTTTATAATAGGATACTGTAGCTAGGGGGTCATGGGGGCTGGTGCCTAGGCTCACCTGCCCAGGTTGATGACTCCACGTGGGATACCCGTTGGTGTGTTGAAGGCCGGTAGCAGCTTCTCCCCAAGCACCATCACTTTCCTCTTGAACATCTACAAGAACAAGGAAGGAGGGACACTTAGTAAACACTCACAGAAACACACAAAGACAGAGGTACACACACCTGTGCAAAAACCAGCCCCCACCCCCACAGAAGTACACACCACTCCCACGTGCCATCAACACAGGCATATTTTCAACTTGGCCCCTGTAAGAAAAACCTTTTTGGTTCCAAGTACAGAACCTTTTCACCAAACAAAGAACCGTCAAATAACTCTTTCTTCAGATGAAAAAGGTTTAATGTAGAACCCTTTGATGTAGTGTACAGTCAAACACAGAGAGTAGAATTAGAGTGTAGCACCAGCCCCAATACTTTCCAGATGGCTTCCCAGCCTCTCTCAACAAAGCTAATTATGTAGAACATAACAAACCCAGGGACAACGGAGAGATGGCGCTGCTCTGAGAAGGATTAAAAGCAATCTCATTGATGTAATCCACAGCAGTTCAATTAAACCTACACTCTCTCTGCTGCCTGCCTCTTGAAAGCAGGGCCAAGGGAGGGTGAAGCACTGTCTCAAAGTAAGATTAACAGGTCAGACAAATCTGCATTACCTGCCGAGACAGAGTTAGAAGGAGAGAGAAGTAGAGAGATAGAAGAGAGAGGGTTAAATAGTGAGAGAAAGACAGAGAGTGCTGGTTTTAGAATTGAGATGCAAGGCTGCTAACAGAGAGAACTAGAAAGAGAGAGAGGGAGAGGGATATCGTTTGTGTGTGTGTGCATGCGTACGTGCGCGTATCAGATCTTTGGTGTGTGTGTGTTAGGGTTGGGCGGTATACAGATTTCCAGACCTTCATAACGTACCATACCGGGGAATACGGTATTACCGCAGTGCACAGAAGGGGCGCTACAGTGGGGAAAACAAGTATTTAGTCAGCCACCAATTGTGCAAGTTCTCCCACTTAAAAAGATGAGAGAGGCCTGTAATTTTCATCATAGGTACACGTCAACTATGACAGACAAATTGAGAAAATAAAATCCAGACAATCACATTGTAGGATTTTAATGAATTTATTTGCAAATTATGGTGGAAAATAAGTATTTGGTCACCTACAAACAAGCAAGATTTCTGGCTCTCACAGACCTGTAACTTCTTCTTTAAGAGGCTCCTCTGTCCTCCACTCGTTACCTGTATTAATGGCACCTGTTTGAACTTGTTATCAGTATAAAAGACACCTGTCCACAACCTCAAACAGTCACACTCCAAACTCCACTATGGCCAAGACCAAAGAGCTGTCAAAGGACACCAGAAACAAAATTGTAGACCTGCACCAGGCTGGGAAGACTGAATCTGCAATAGGTAAGCAGCTTGGTTTGAAGAAATCAACTGTGGGAGCAATTATTAGGAAATGGAAGACATACAAGACCACTGATAATCTTCCTCGATCTGGGGCTCCACGCAAGATCTCACCCCGTGGGGTCAAAATGATCACAAGAACGGTGAGCAAAAATCCCAGAACCACACGGGGGGACCTAGTGAATGACCTGCAGAGAGCTGGGACCAAAGTAACAAAACCTACCATCAGTAACACACTACGCCGCCAGGGACTCAAATCCTGCAGTGACAGACGTGTCCCCCTGCTTAAGCCAGTACATGTCCAGGCCCGTCTGAAGTTTGCTAGAGTGCATTTGGATGATCCAGAAGAGGATTGGGAGAATGTCATATGGTCAATTGGTAAAAACTCAACTCGTCGTGTTTGGAGGACAAAGAATGCTGAGTTGCATCCAAAGAACACCATACCTACTGTGAAGCATGGGGGTGGAAACATCATGCTTTGGGGCTGTTTTTTTGCAAAGGGACCAGGACGACTGATCCGTGTAAAGGAAAGAATGAATGGGGCCATGTATCGTGAGATTTTGAGTGAAAACCTCCTTCCATCAGCAAGGGCATTGAAGATGAAACGTGGCTGGGTCTTTCAGCATGACAATGATCCCAAACACACCGCCCGGGCAACGAAGGAGTGGCTTCGTAAGAAGCATTTCAAGGTCCTGGAGTGGCCTAGCCAGTCTCCAGATCTCAACCCCATAGAAAATCTTTGGAGGGAGTTGAAAGTTCGTGTTGCCCAGCGACAGCCCCAAAACATCACTGCTCTAGAGGAGATCTGCATGGAGGAATGGGCCAAAATACCAGCAACAGTGTGTGAAAACCTTGTGAAGACTTACAGGAAACGTTTGACCTGTGTCATTGCCAACAAAGGGTATATAACAAAGTATTGAGAAACGTTTGTTATTGACCAAATACTTATTTTCCACCATAATTTGGAAATAAATTCATAAAAAATCCTACAATGTGATTTTCTGGATTTTTTTCCCTCCATTTGTCTGTCATAGTTGACGTGTACCTATGATGAAAATTACAGGCCTCTCTCATCTTTTTAAGTGGGAGAACTTGCACAATTGGTGGCTGACTAAATACTTTTTTCCCCCACTATATATATATATATATATATATTATAATAATAATACCCCCGTATACGGTATAGAGTACCACAGTATGAGTCATAAAACCCATAAAACCTAGCAGTCAAACAGGGAAATGGTTTCAATCATTTTCTTTCACCATTCATTTTCCTCATAGGGGATTTTAGAAACACTTAAAATAAGGGCTGTACTAATTAGCTGCTAATGTGGCTATCATAAAGAACTACAAATACCATGGTGATCTGGACAGACTGCCGAATTGAGGCAAAGGTAAAAATCTCTGGATTAACTGCCTAATGTTAGCAAAATTTAGCAATGAATAAATTGGCCAAATGTCTTTCAACTGACAATTCTGTGAACTGTCTTGTTAAAGTTTTAAATTGACACAATACCTTTTAGCAAAGGTATCAGCTAGAGATGACTTGCAGGGATTTGTACTTATGCATGATGTCTACTTTGATGCTAATTATAATTTTTGAATCTGAGAGTAAATAGAGCCAAATATGTTGATAAAAGTCACCTTGTCCGAGAGAGATTTACATAAAATATCACACCAGGGTAAGCCTACATGAAACACAGCCCTAATTTTAAGTGTGTCTAAAATTCCCTATGGGAAAAATGAATGGTGGAAAAATGATTGGAACCATTTCCCTGTTTGACCGCTAGGTTTTATGAGTATTATGACACCTCCACTGTTGGGCTCTATACCGCCCAAGCCTAGTGTGTGGGTGTGTGTTTGCAAAGTGTCACAGTGCTCTTTGACAGTGTCTCCGTCTCACCGCATAGTGACTCAGCTAAAAGAGTGATGTGAGAAGGAGAGGAGGAGGAGGAGGAGGTGGGTAGAGCTGAGTGTTCATATAGTCTGTGTCCCAAATGGCACCATATTTCCTATATTAGTGCACTACCTTTGACCAGGGCTCTGGGAAATAGTGTGCCATTTGGGATGCACAATTAAATGCATGTCAGAGTAACCAGCCATTAGAATTATGATCATCAATAATGTCAATATGAGTTGCCTGTGCCCTTGTCCTACAGTAAGTGAATGATACAATGTCTCTCCTGCCTCTGGCACTCTGCTACATTTACATTTACATTTGAGCCATTTAGCAGACGCTCTTATCCAGAGCGACTTACAGTTAGTGAGTGCATACATTGCAGTGAGAAAGGCGTGTTATCTCCATCATCTGAGGATGCGCCTGGACACGGTCTGTCTGGGCGTTGATTCACCCTTTTTGGCTCTTTGTTTTTGTGAACAGAGGCAGAGTGGGCTACAGACAGATGTACTGGCACATGACTGATTTGGACACATTATGTGCATGGATACATATGTTTGCACTCACATGTATGTTTTCATGTGTATGTGCAGATACGCACACATGCACACAATCATCATTGTTATCAGTAACATACGCACGCACACACGCACAAACGAACCCATCCACCCACTCACCCACCACATAAAAAGCTCAGGTGCTACCTGTTCCCTTGACAAATGCCCATTTACTGCCAGCTGTTACAATGTCATCTTTACAACCCAATTACCTATAGTTCTCTGCATGTTACACTCCGGAACAGTCCATACTAGTTCAAATGACTCAGATTCACAGGGCATTGACACCACACAGAGACATAAATAGCCAAGTGAGGCCACAAGCGCCCGAGTGAGTCATCGGTCCATCTAGCAGCTGGGGGCCTACTAGCCCTCCAGAACTCCCACTCCCATAATTCCATTCTCTTTCAGCGTACTGGGAGGGTGGATTTACACACAGAGAAAGCTCATTAATCCACTGTATGGGGAGTAGGATCCAGGGCTAAGATGAGTGTGTGTGTGTGTGTGTGTATATGTGTGTGTATATGTGTGGTGGGAGCTGCATATTGCCCCTCTGGTCCCCCAGCTCTATCTCTTATCAAAAAGCTTACTAATGACCCTCTCCCCCGTCCTTACAGTACCACTTGTACTCATCCAACCTAGCGGTTCATGGCCATACTGTCATGTAAACTTACCCACACAGTCATTTTAATACCTACGTGCACCCACACATGTGCACACACACACACAGCCATATTAACACACATGCACACACATACTCACACACACACGAGAGCGCACAAACTCCAATTAAATCACACTGTTATTAAGCCTTGTTTACACGCTTAGAAATTCCTTATATATTAATTACCGCAAAAGCCCTTTTGCTGGCAGCTATGGTATGCTTTACCATTGAGCATATGCAACATTGCAGGCCCCATTTCACCTCTATCTCAGTCTACCTACCCCTTCTATAGCACAGAGCAAGACTTCAGTACAGCTCCAGCTAATCTGCATCACACTCACGCTGTCCTCTTTTTCTTCTCCCACAGCTCATTCATCCCCCCTTCCTCTCCCCTGTAACTGTTCCCCAGGTCGTTGCTGTAAATGAGAACGTGTTCTCAGTCAACCTACCTTGTAAATTAAGAAATATTATACAAAATCACAGAAGTGCCTATAGAGACGTGCTGCTGCATCATATGTTATTGTCCACCCATTCATCCCAACCATCCCACGTGCAGATCCCGCCGCACGTCCACAATCCTCAACCTATCCATCGGAAGAACGGACCAGGCCTCGAGACGGAGAAGCATTGATCCGTTGTAACAGGAGACGGCTCGCTTACTTTGCTTTCAGTTTGGAATTACCCCTTGGATGTTGGACACGACAGCCGGGAACTGAATGGCTTTTCTCTTTTAAGCACAAGAGACGCGTAGCAGGCGACGCAGTCACCTCTCCCTGAGTTAACACTGTCAGGGACCAGTGGAGACTGAGGGGTAGAACTCTGTATGTATGGAACCCTCAGTTACCATTCAAACTTCTCAATTATGAGTCAAAGAAACACTTGAAGTGTGAAAGTGAAAATGAGAGGTTGTTGCTCTTTTGGTGGAGTCAGTATGTGTTGGTTTTCACTTCTGTGCTGTAGCTATTGTCCTCAATTTTTTTATTTTTTTACCCACCCCAGTGGCTAGATTCTTGGTTAAGTAGCATACAGGTGTACAAAGAACTGACACTGGCAAAAATGTACATACAACTGCTTGTACAACAGTTCTGTTTCAGTGAGATATAGACCAACTAGAGGTTATATATCAGAGTGTCTATGGAACTCATAAAAATGATCTTCACCTACAGTACCCTAACGATGCACAATAGCGGACTGGGACCATTTATGCAAAATATACACATTTATTTCCAATTTCTTGCTGGCTGTGGCTGAAAACAGCTTTTGCATGACAGGACAGAGAACAATACAAACTGTTATCTGAAGCCTGATAATGCCAAGCTTGCCCTATGGCACTGGTCCATTATAGTTGTTTACGACTCTAATTTTGACCCTCCCCTTCCTTGAGGACACATTGAGCTGGACCAATGACAGTCAGGCATGACGCATAAATAACATAGCAAAAAAAAACGACTGCACAGCTCAGCAGCGCAGCTTCTTCAACGTGCTAAGTCAACCAGGTGCATTTCTCTCGCAATGTCACCCACCCACTCAATAAGAGAAATATAATGTATTTTCAGGAGAACAAAGTCCCATCTAGTCATGGCTGTCATCAGAGCAGCAGAACTTGATAGTTGGAAGACAAAAGGAAAGAGGAGTGGGTGGGAGGCAGGAATGTTGTGCATGGCATTATGTTATGCTCTTTGATTGTGAATTCTATTCGAGTAGTACCAAGTTATCTTCCTGTGTGATGTAATGTATTTTTTACCTATTTTGTCCTCTGGCTCCTTGGAGCGACAATATGCTTAGTATGTAGCATGTTTTGATTACTTCTCATTAAACCGTCACAGTAGGGAAGATTTGAAGTTATAGTACACTACGTGGGAGTGTATACTACCTGTTGCGATTGAAAAAATAGTTCACTATAAGTCACCTCAGTTCCTTATGTGATAAAAATAGCATTCAAATCAGAAAACGTTGTGGGTGACATTTAGAAAACGTCTTGATGGTGCCGCGTTTAAAAAAGCGGTGATTTTTACGACCGTGGATGAATGAATTATTCCTGTTCGCCAGCTGTGGGTGATGAAAACCAAGCCCAAAACACCCTCTCTGACTGTCACAATCCCCCAATACCCCACCAGAATGAAAACTCGTATCCTTTTTTTCCTCTCCTCTCTCATCCCCCCATTCCTCCATCTGCGGTAGGCTTTTACTCAGGGTAGCAGCTGACTCTAAAAGGCTGTAAAAAGGCTGAGGAGACCAAAGCTGTCCGCTCGGATCGCTCACCCTGACCAAACAGCATAACCCCCATATGTTGTTTTTCTCTGCCGTGCACCGGGCTGCCGGGCCTCAGTTCCGAAAGGCCTAGACTGAGTTGGCCCTTTACTCTGTCCTCGCGTCACTCACAGTGTCACTCGGTGTCACACAGTGTCCTGAAAAGGGGGACCTAATCTAGGAGGTCATTGAGGTCAGAGGAGGACCTGTAGACCAGACAGCCTGTAAAAACACAATGTTCGGAGCATGGTTGGTTGTTCCTGTGACATCTCTATGTAAGGCCACCGTTCTCCTCTGCCAAGGTTAGAGTTGGCTATGTCATAATGTTCTCTCTGTCGTTATGCAATACCCAGAGGTTGTTTTGCAATCCCATAGGGGTGATCAGAATCATGCACACTATTTGTGCTTGACCTCTGTGTGGTCTAATGTTTAGAAACTGGGCATGTCACCACAATGCAAAGGCGGCAGGTAGCTTAGCGGTTAAGAGCATTGGACCAGTAACCGAAAGGTTGCTGTTCAAATCCCCAAGCCAACTAGGTGAAAAATCTGTCGATGTGCCCTTGAGTAAGGCACTTAATCCTAATTGCTCCTGTAAATCGCTCTGGATAAGAGCGTCTGCTAAATGACTAAAATGTAAAGGTTCAAGTTGAAATTGATGACAGCCAACGTTCTCTTTCTTGAGAAATACATAAGTTATTCTGAGCTCTGCTAGTTGGAATTGCACAACTGAGTAAGACCCTTGAGGCCAGGGTATAAGGAGAAGTGTCAGTACATGGTGAACCACTGAATTGTAGCATGTATACCAGGGCTTTGAGACATGTAGCTAGAAAGAAAATGTTCAGAGGGCAAGATACTGGCATGTGCTACCAATCTTTGAAACTCAACATTACTCATCAGACAACATCCTGGGCAGAATTAGCACAGTGCACTCAGCAGCCTTCTCTCATCTTACAAGGTGTGTGTGTGTGTGTGTGTGTGTGTGTGTGTGTGTGCGTGCGTGCATGCGTGTGTGTGAAAGAGAGAGAGAGAAATGCGCACAGCACACATGGTTGAAAGCCTGCTGCTGAGTGCTAGCTGCCAGATATCTGGGTTGTAATACCACGGTGCTGCCCTGATAAGAACCTAATTTTGCTCAGTATGATTTAACTGGAACAATCGGTCGATTCTTATAAGCAGCGGTCTGCCCTGGTTTGTTTTTGCCTCTATCCCAGTGGTTAACATCATTATTAGCATCTGATGGTTTTACCATCGATTCTTATGGACAGTCTGGGAGCCTTGTACATACTACTACAGTCTTTAGCAGAGAAGCCACAGACCATGAGCTCGATTTACTAAGTGTTTGCACCAGGTGCAAAGAACACCAAAAACTAACGTTATGAACAAGTATTTATTTACATTTTATCGCTAGATCTTATTCTTTCTACTAGCCAGTAACTTTTTGTTCTGTCCTCAATGTTCAATTCACTTTATCTTTTATTTTTATAGGTGCCGACTTTTATTCAGGTTAGGGAACTGGGTTTCTCAGAGCAGGAGTGCTGATCTTTTGCCTTATATGTCATAATGAATGAGATTACATGGACAGGGGGGACCTGATCCTAGATCAGCACTCCTACTATAGGTCATGAATCATGAATACAGGCCCTGGAATTGCATTGGAGATTCAACGTTAGGAGGTTGAAGTTTAATGCAGTAAGAGATGGAGCTACAGTACAAGTCAAAAGTTTGGACACACCTACTCATTCAAGGGTTTTTCTTTATTTTTACTATTTTCTACATTGTAGAATAATAGTGAAGACATCAAAACTATGAAATAACACATATGGAATCATGTAGTAACCAAAAAAGTGTTAAACAAATCAAAATATATTTTATATTTGAGATTCTTCAAATAGCCACCCTTTGCCTTGATGACAGCTTTGCACACTCTTGGCATTCTCTCAACCAGCTTCATTGCCTCTATCCCAGTGGTTAACATCAAGTTTCTTCAATTGCAGTCGCAAAAACCATCAAGCGCTATGATAAGAGACTTGCTTGGGCCAAGAAACACGAGCAATGGACATTAGACCGGTGTAAATGTGTCCTTTGGTCTGGAGTCCAAATTGGAGATGTTTGGTTTCAACCGCCGTGGCTTTGTGAGACACGGTGTGGGTGAACGGATGATCTCTGCATGTGTATTTCCTACCGTAAAGCATGGAGGAGGAGGTGTTATGGTGTGGGGGTGCTTTGCTGGTGACACTGTCTGTGATTTATTTAGAATTCAAGGCACACTTAACCAGCATCGCTACCACATCATTCTGCAGTGATACGCCATCCCATCTGGTTTGGGCTTAGTGGGACTATCATTTGTTTTTCAACAGGACAATGACCCAACACACCTCCAGGCTGTGTAAGGGCTATTTTATCAAGAAGGAGAGTGATGGAGTGCAGCATCCGATGACCTGGCCTCCACAATCCCCCGACCTCAACCAAATTGAAATTGTTTGGGATGAGTCGGACCTCAGAGTGAAGGAAAAGCAGCCAACAAGTGCTCAGCAGATGTGAGAACTCCTTCAAGACTGTTGGAAAAGCAGTCCAGGTGAAGCTGGTTGAGAGAATGCCAAGAGTGTGCAAAGCTGTCATCAAGGCAAAGGGTGGCTATTTGAAGAATCTCAAATATAAAATATATTTTGATTTGTTTAACACTTTTTTGGTTACTACATGATTCCATATTTGTTATTTCATAGTTTTGATGTCTTCACTATTATTCTACAACGTAGAAAATAGTAAAAATAAAGAAAAACGCTGGAATGAGTAGGTGTGTCCAAACTTTTGACTGGTACTGTATATACATTTGAGCTAGGTACTTGAGTTGGATCCAATCCATAAATGCCCTACAGTATTGAACCACATTAGGATAATATGAACATATACTGGCTGGGTAACTCCAGCACGATTCTTCTTTAAAAGATTGGATAAGTAAAGCTTGTCTCCAAATTGTGATCATATCATACTTAGCTTTGAAGTGAAGCTAGTTTCTCTAAAGCGGTTTTCATAGCTTGTAATGGAATCCTGTATTTCCCAAGCATGTAGTCTACACCAAGGGACTGAGTATGGCTTAAGGCAGTGTCGTCACTGACTCGATTCCCTAGTGGTTCTAATACAAAATGAAAAGTGCTTTAAAAAGTCTGGTTGTGAACATCCAAGATATTGACATTTATTTGCCTAACAGAGCAGAGGTAAAACAACATGTTATTTACTTTAATGCGTTCTGCAGTGGTATTGATTAACACATGTGACTTGAGCATGGGTGTCTGAACTAACACAGGTGACACAGTGACCCAGATGTATCTAGAGCGACTGCTGACTAGCAGCATGAAGCCCTCCATGCGTCTCCATTCG